AAAAAAAAAAAAAAAAAAAAAAAAAAAAAAAATCCTTGTTCTCATAGCACTCACTGCCTGGATAGGGCTGGATAAAGCTTAAGGACCTGGGATGGGAAGTTCGGCTGAGGAGCCAGGGCTGCCCTCTGGATGGAGGAGAGGTCTAGTTCCTGGGAGCCCTTGTTCCAGGTTGCCATAGTTACTGGTTTGTTTTCACCCCAAACACAGTAATGGGGTAGGGGGGCGGGGAGCCTGGCTAGACACGTGAGATGATTCTTCTCTCCTTCAAGCCTGGGCTTATGGCCCAGGCAGCCCCTGTCCAGTCATCTGGGCGCTGAGCCCAGGCCCAGCTCACACCCTCCAGCTGACCCAGAACATCCCCGCAGGGTCAGGCCTGAGGCGCTGCTGGACAGGAGCAGGTGGAGAGGGACCCCTCCAGGTTGGGCTGAGACTCGACTCCTCACTTTTTCCTGCTCCCCTTCCTCCTAATTAGAATGCACAGCCTGTTCTGCCTGATCCACTTTTGTCTTTTTCTTTCCATTTAGACTCTCAAGTCTTACTCTCCTCTAAGGGCTAAGAGGGCATCCTGAAACATCCCTCTTCCCTCCCAAATACCACCCTCTTCTCTACCGTTGCCCCTCCTTCCTGGGCTCAGAGCCTTCTGGCTCCAGTGCCCATTGTTTGTTTGAGCTGCACGTCCTGGAAGGCAAGGGGAGGGAGGGAAAACCTGCTCGAGAGCAGAAGACCCAGAGGCTGATCACCCTGAAGGGCGTGGGGCCCCCTGTCCTTCCTGTTTACTCAGACATATTCCAGGGATCTGTATCCTCTGGTTTGTCACGCCATGAGACATCCCTGCTAAACACAGACATACCCGTGTTGCAGGGGAGAGGCAAGGGGATGACATGAGGTCTGCAAGCCCACACCCACCCCACCCCAGGGCCAGCTGTGTCTTCAGTGCTCGGTTCTTGGATGCTGGCCCTAGAGAAGCCACTTTCCCCAAACTCTCCATCACAAGCCAGGAAGGCAGCCACCATTCCTTCAACTCCCTCCAAGTTGTTTATTTAATAATAAAAAAGATATGCACACACATAAACCTGATCTCCCTCCACCACCCCTCCTTTACTTCCAGAAACTAACTCCAACACGTAAAAACTTCCCTTGTCCCACCTGGGGACTAAATTCCCACTTCCACACCCCACACAGAGAAACAAAAGAACAAAGAGCATGCAGGAACCCACCCACCCTGAAACTGAACTTCACTCAATACTCTCAAAAGAAAAGTAAGGACTGGGGACTAATAGGAATGAGAGAAGCCCTATATTCTGAAAAGGGGTGAAAAGAGAGGTGAACCCCCCACTTCCAAATAAGAGCTTACCCCCCACACCCTGTCTTTCCTTTGCCAAATGCCCCAAGCCCAGGGATCGGGGAAATTCAAAACCGTCCTTTGTCACCCTGTACCCCCCGCCCCCCAGTTCTAAGTCAGTGTGAGTTGCAGAGGTTAGGGATGGTTGAGGTAGAGGGGCTGGTGGGCAGCCTGGTGGGCCTGGCTGGCTGCAGCAGCTGGCAAGGGTCCACCTGTGGCATTGCCCGGAGTTGGAGATGGCTGTTTTCGGAGTGAGGGGGGCACCGTGGAGGTCTTGATGTGAATCACCCTGGTGTCCATGACCTCACACTCGATCTGCATCATCTCCTCATAGTCCCCCGGGGTCCCCCGGCCTGACAGAGTCTCTGTGAGGAGGGGAGAGTTAAGAAGAGAAGAAGGGGGAGGCAAATGCGGGGGAGAGAGTCAGAAAAGCGGAGGTGAGCAGGGAGGAAAGGGAAGGGCAATAACGAGGAGGCGGATCCACAGTGGGAATAAATGGGACGGCAGGAATGGAGTTTGGTGCAGGGAGAAGGGAAGGGGTAGAAAAAGAGAATGACATTGATGAGCATGGGGTGGTACAGGGGAGGACATCAAGAGAGAAAAAGGGAAGTGAGAGTCTGGCAGGCTCCCAGCCCACCCCCTTCTGCCCATCCACCTATACAACTCTTCACCAAGGGAGGAGCCACACCCTCCCGTCAAAGTTTCCTGCACTTTGTTCTCTCCACCCGCTTCCTTCTCTTCTCACCTATAAGCCCAGCTCTCTCTGGATGCCCCACTCCTCTCCCCCGTCTCCCTCAGCTCCCCATGCTGGATCTCCCTATGGGAACTTCCCCTTCCTCAATTTCAGGACCCCTCCCCACACCCGGCAGGGAAAGAATTACCATTGGGGGCCATGGCGGGCATCACCAAGGACATCTTGGGCCGGGAGGTCTTGTTGTGGCTGATGGCTGGGAGCAGCAAGTGATCCTGGGGAAGGAGGGGCCAGGCTGGCAGGGTAGAGGAAAGGATGCCAACAGGCTCCCCAGCCCTACTCTACAGCCTCCCACTGAAAACAGACTGCTCGGGAGCCCGGGTGACAAACATGGGGCAGGGAGAAGGAGCTCACCCTTCGGAAGGAGACAACATAAAATGTGTCTTCCCGTCGGTCAATTGCGTCCAGGAACTCCGGCTGTGAACGATCTGGGTGTCGATATAGCTGCAGTTGGCCCACAGAATCCCTAGTCAGGTGGGGAAACAGGATTTGAGGAAGGGAGGAAGAGGATGAGAGAAAAAGAGATAGGAGACCCCCACTGGATGAGGGAGATATAATCCCATTGATGACAATGGTGATAAGCACAGGATAGCTCCTGGGGATATAGCTCTTGAGAGTGGAACCTCATTAATAAATAAGCAGCTCCCTCCGTACTGGCCAGCCACAAAAAAATCAATCAATCAATCAATCAATCAATAAGCAGCCCCCGTACTCACTTTTCTGGGGGCCCAGGGGGTCGGGTGGGAACTGCCTTAACTGTAGGCGACTTCTTCCGTAGCTGAGACTTCTGGAAGGAGAAGTATCTAAGGATTTGGAGAGGGTGAAGGGAAGAGGGAAAGAGAGACGGCCCCTGGAAGCTGACACCACCTCTCACCCACCCCTCTACTTCCCCTGCAAATCCCTCAAACCTCCACATGAGATGCCCACTTGAAATCCCCAGGACGCTTAGCCCTGTCTTCAAGTGGCCTTCCTTGAACCAGCCCCACCTCCTCCTACCTGTCTCTCCTGGGCCCTTGGAGGGATCTTCCGCCGGCCTCTCTGGTGGCGCTGGACCCAGCCACTCAGCTCATCAGCAAGCCTAGGAAGCAGAGGAGGGTTAACACCTCTGTGCCAGGCCAAGACTCCCACTTTCCTTGCCCACCCACAGGAGTGGAAAGAGAAGGCAGGGAGAGCTGGTACTTCAGTACACAAGGAGCCAGGCTGTCTGTGGAGGGCCTTGGAAGGACAGGGCAAGATGCCCCTGCTGTGAATGTCCCGCACCTCAGGGACTCAGTTCGGTTGAAATGCCGGCAGTCAGAGGAGAGGAAGAGCTGGTCTAGGTCCCTCAGTAGCAGCTCCTTGGCCCCCCCAGGGAAGGCTGTCAGGTTCCTGGAGTGAGGTAGAGAGGAGGCAATGATCAGAGACTGCCCAGCACTCCTGCATCAAGAAAGGCAATAATGGCAAGAAAACAGCTTTGGCACCCCACTCCCACCCCCACCCAAAGGAGCTTTTAGGGAGAAGACTCGCACCTCTAAAGAAGAAAGGGGCCTCTCTCTCTCCTCACCTGAAACTGGGCTGGCCTTCAGGGCTGGGTTGGGGCTCCTCAGGACCCTGGGAGGACCTGTGGAGGGGTTCAACTCCACGAACCGGCTCTTGCTCTGAGAATTCCAGCAAATGTCTCCGGGGTTGAGGCTCCTCCCTGCTCATCCGAGGAGAGATGGGAGCTGGAGGAGGCTCACTGATGCTGTGGATAAGGAAGGACAGAGCACAGTGAAGAATTCCAGCTTTATCAAGTGTCTAGTTAAGAGTAAAGGCTCTGCTGACAGACTGCCTGGGTTCCTAGATGTTCTACAAGACTGAGTCTCTTCATCTGTAAGATGGGAGTGAGAATGGTCCAGGAAACATAAGCAAAGGACAGCACTGAACCTAGAGTCTAGAACTCAGTAAGCACTTAACAGTCAACTATTTTTATCAACATTATCCCCATCATCTACCCCATGATGTACCACCTATGAAAGAAATGATGGAGCAAGAAGAGACTGGCTAGATACACCATTGGTGCGAAGGACACCAAAACTGTTTGTGTAAGTGGGAGGAAACGGACTGGGCCAAAGCAGGCAATCAGGCAGCTGTGAGGGTCAGCTCTACCCAAAGGGTTCTAGGGCAGCAGGGAGGGACTCACCTGACAGGTCCAAAGTTGAAGGCAATGAAGAGAAGGAATACCATGATGCAGACCACCTTCCTGTTTCCAGACCCTAACTTGAGCTCGCTGTTCTAAAGTGCAGAGGGAGAGACCAGAGAAAGGGGGAGTCATCCCAAGGAGCCCATATTCTGCTGGTGTCCCAAGTTCAGACCAGTCTTACCTCAGCCAGCAGGGACTCCAGACGCCGCCGGAGGGCAGCATTCTCCCGGCGGAGCTGCTGGTTGTCAGCCAGCACTGCCTGCAGCCGAGCCTCCAGCCCCTGCAGGTACTCTTTCTTCTTCCTCCGGGACTGGCAGGCTGACTCCCGGTTCTTGATCATTCGCTGCTGCCGCTTCAGCAGCTTAGCCTAGGCACCCAGGAGGTCAAAAAGAGAATGAATGATGATTTGGAGAGGTGGGCCATGCCCCCCAGCCCCAGAGACCTCTATCTACACAGCCAGAGAAGGATTTTTCCTTTCTACTGAAACATTCCAGAGAAGGAGCTCTTCTCTCCACCATTCCCTGCTACTGCTTTTCAAAGGTGGGAGAAGTTAGACTGCAGGAGGAACTTCCTTCATCCCGGTAAAACCTCTTTCCTTGGTGGGTTACCCTTCTTCTCAGTCCTCCTTTTTAGGCCCAAAGTTTAAAGAAAGAATAGTTTACCTTGTTTTCCCCTGGGAAGCTGCCTCCCTCCCTCAACTACTGCCACAACCATAACACAGTATGACACCCCTGCCTCTGCTTTACTGAGACTACCACCATCTCTCCATCTGCAGTGATAGCAAACCTAAGGACCCTAAAACCACATGTAGTTGATACTCACATAGAAACAGGGTTCTACTCTGAGCCCCAGGGTCATCCTATGGGTCTGCTTCCTCACTTCCTGCTCCTGGGTCTCAACCCCCTCCTCACTCCACAGTTCTCTCCATGACACATTTTCCTCTTCTCTTCCCATCGCTTGCCCTACTCCTCTCCTCCTCAGTACTTACATCCACTTCAGGGGGGCAGGAGTTCCCAGGCACAGGAGCCGGAACAATGCTCTTCCTCTCAGGCCGTGGAACCGGGGGGGCTGGCCCTTCAGGCTGGACTCGAATAGCACCCTGGATGAGGACAACTGGGGACACTGGGGCAAGTGAGCAGAAGGAGGAGGTCAGAGAGCTGTGAGTCAGGTTGGGTCCTTGTGTCCACACCCACAACCGAGCACCCACAGGTTGGCAATCTCAATGGCTGTGAGCTCCCTGACAAGGTCAATCCAGCCCATCTCCTCTCCTTCTTTAGTACCTGGGGGAGGCTGGATAAGGGGCTGCAGAAGGACAGTGGTGCTGGGAGGCACAGCTCTGGGTGGCACTGGGACAGTGGTTAGCACCACAGGTTTGGGCTGTAGTGGTGGCTTCCGGGGGTGTGTGACTTTTCCTGAAGGAGGGTGAGAGAAAGGAGAGAAGGAGTGTTAGGACTACAGGCCTTTTACCAGGGATCCCCGGTGTCAGGAGGCCCCATTACCTGAGGAGCCATCAGTGGATGGGCCCATGCTGATCTGAACAGCTCCAAGTGAGGGGGCCGGGACATCCCACAGGAGGCACCCTGGAGGGGATGGGGACTCTGTCTTCACTTCCAGTACCTCCTCTCTTATAAAAGCCTGTGGGACATTCCGGAGATACGTTAGTCAGAAGGAGTGTCAAGGAGAGGCTGAAGAAGAGAAAGCTCTCATACCTCTGAGAGTCAGAAGAACTCACTGGAGCACCTGCAGCGAGGATGCGAAG